AAAAAAACCCAAAAAACAAAAAAGAGGAAACCCCAGAAGTGAATAAATGAGAACACAGTTTCGTTATTTTTACTATGCACAGTGCATCACTAAGATTCAAACAGATCTCTAGATACACTGGTGAGGAAGACTGTCATCTCTGGTCTGAGAAGCCAGGTTTTAATGCAGTTGCACTATCTATATGTGCAAAGCCTAAGACTTGGAATTAAGCACACGCTACTCATGAACCAGCCACTCTGACATGAACGAGAAGAAATTTCTAAGGTAGGAAATTCACTGCCCCAATTGAATGCCAAACTAAATACCTCAGTTTAAGATGCTGAGTAACAAGTGAGGAAAACAACAATTAAATAGGAGTATTACAAAGAGAGTAATTCTCCAATATTTTTCACTGGATATAAGGAACATTGAGTGAATTACAGGGAGCAGGCTGAGAACAAACGACGAGGACTTTTCAAATATCATGTAATGGCAACCTGGAACTTGCTGCCTTAGGATGTTCTGGAGGCCAGAAACATCAAACAAATGAAAAGGTGATTGAGCCAGTTCACAATTAAGCTCAATGATCCAGATGCAGTCCTTAATGTAAAAAAGCTGTAAAAGGGTGATTGCCAGAAAGCAGGAGGGCCAGCCAGGGGAACTTCCCTTCAACAATCTTCCCTAACTGTCTTCTGCTGACTACTATTTCCTCTCTCCACTGGCCTCAGACCCCATTACACAATTCTTTACCAAGTACCTGAGCAAGAAAGACTCTGGCTAAACAAGCTTTTTCTGGCATAATTCAAAACATTATCTTCGCAATTCTTGGAAGCCCTCCTCACAGTGCAATCCACAGCACCTGTGTCTGTATGGACCAGGGTTGCAAGGCTGCACAGAGGATCAGTGCTCCCTGGGGTTTGTCTGGAATGAACTCTCTCTCCTCTCTATTGTAAGTTTTCACTTAGTACATCTGCTGTCACATGCATCAGCTAGCTTCATTCATGCAATTCATCTTTCCCACCTTGGGTTTAGCTGCTGCCTTCTTATATCTCGCTGGCACCAGGCTCTCTGCATCTCATTTTCTGTCATCCACTAAGGGAAGACACATATCTTTTGCTTTCAGAGGAAGTTTTCACCATCCTAATGTCACCTCCCCAGGATATGCCTGGCTACACAAAGTCCTGCTTCTTCTGGTAGCTGCAAGGAGATGACCTGCAACCAGCTTGTTTGGCCCACAAAGTGTCTCAGCCTTAAGACCCTGTAGTATCTAATCCTGCCCTACAGGACGCAGAGCTGCTGGCCATTCCTTGAGACACAACATTGGAATCAGTGAATCTTGGCTTTCAAATGACCATGCTGAATTAAACCTATTTTTCCACTGAAAATTATCACTGAAATGGAATTCCCTCAAAATTAAGCTTCCCTCTTCATATTTCAGTGCAAGACTGAAGAAAATCTCATTAGTGATAAAACAGCTGTATTTTTTCAATGTTCAGTGCTCGATAATAAGTCACCAATAAGAAGGTACTTTCATGATTTCATGATCCAAACATCTGTCTGTTATTATTTCCTAATAACTAAGCACTGCTTTTTCTCCTAGTGCCTTGAATGGACAGCATTCAACCTCCAAAACCTCACCTGTTTGTGAAGAATGCCACCCATGGGAAGCTTCTGTTGTGAGTCTCTACAAAAACACACTGTGCAAAGAGATTTGGGCAGCAGCTGTGCTGTAAAACAGAATATGTGAATTAGAAACAGTGCAACACCTCATCGTTGGCCATGAGATATTTTGTGTCAGGTATCTGTCACTAGCAAAGGTAGTTTCTTTCTTCCCTTTTACAGCCCATGCAGAACCTTGATTAATTAGTGCCATTGCCACTGATGCTTGCAGTAACTGCACCTCTTTCAAGTATTATTTCCATCATATTATGAAAGTATTTTTGCCTAGGAAAACCAAGTTACTTTGTATCAAGCTGTCCTCCAGAAATTTATGGGGAGAATTCATCTTAGATTCAGGATGCACCACAAATACTAAGTATGTGACAGATGCTCTTGCTGTCAGCCAGGGGAGCAGTGCTAGGGAGCAAGCAATAGATACAATGATTGTGTGTGTTGGCAAAGAGATATGAGATGTGAAAGGTTATTCAGGTGCCCGTAGGAACACACGCATGCTCTTGGATGCAGAAGAAAGGTTTCAACAAAACGCACTACTAAACACCCTATTACCTCTGCAAGGCAGAACACCTTTAATACATGCAAGGATTTTGCTGTAAGACACATATTAATGCCAATGAAGACAAACAAGTTATTTGCAGAGTACATGCAAACATGTCTATGAGCCATTTGTCTTAGTTGCAGTACTTGGTAATTCATTACTTTTTCTTGGCAAGTCAAAACTGAGAGTTGTTTAGCAGATATGTACGCAATATGACAGACTACTTTCTGAAAACATGATGGAACAGTAGGGAAATTGCCTACAACATCACAACATTTACCCTAAATCAGCACAAGCTAGAATTTACAATGGTTGGGAACAAAAACCAACGAGGCTGGGAGAAGGCTTGTGGTTCAACAAAATGTGGCCCAAAAAGGCTGTTCAAAAATTCAGGAGAAAGATGCCATTCACTATTGGGGAATATTTCACTCGGGTAACCAGTAGTGCCAAGAATGACAGCTAGTATGTAATATGCATCATCTTAGGGAGGCACTAACAGCCAGTGTGACCCAACCTGCTGTTCTGTCAGTTCAAAATGCAAGGATCACCACACCTCCTGCCTTGTCATGCACCTACAACATGCATGTGTTTGCATTTATGTGCAAAAGCTTTCCTGTTTACGCAGGTGCACAGTTTATTTATTTAAGCTTAGACAACCAAGAAAGCACATGCAAGTTCTTACTTACGTTAAGAAAACGACCCACATTTCCTTCTTTTGTGGCATCTAGTGCATAAATATTTCCTTCAGTAGCATTCTTCAGAAGCATCTTGTCACCACCAGCTTCCTCACAAAAGGGGTCTTTTGACAGTCTGTGATTTTCCTTTTTGCAGTCAGCCTTTAGTGGTACGTTTTTGGATGGCCTCACAACACACGTGTCATCCAGCACACCTGACTTGCCACAGTCAGCACCCTGCAGAGACACACTCTTTCTTTTGCATTCTGCACTGTCCACATCAGCAGACTCAGTCTGTCCAGTTTCCATCGGATGTGCTTCCTTTTGCTGTTGAGTGGATTCTGTCAATAGACATACAAGTTATTTTTCAATGACTGCCTAAACCTTTGCCTAGTTTGTCCCAGAACTATTACCCTCCCAACCTTTGTTCTCGAAAATGTACACAGCTTCCTTGCTATTTACAATTCTATAATACAACTACCCTTTTCCACGCCCCTCATCAGTCCTCCCACAAACAACTGTTTCCTGCTGTGGTGTCTAAACTGCTTGCTCATGTGAGTATAAGCTAGTCTCCTGTTCTTAAATCCCACTCCAGATTGACTTCTTCCACATAGCATTTTATCATCATTTTATCTCCACCTTAATTTCTGAGATAATCACAAACTGTTATTAAGACAGAGACAAGATGCAAGTAGTTTCATAATGACTTTCCAGCTTGAGGTGCCCCCACCAGTGCATTATACCGTCTTCAATTTTTGTTGACTGGGACGTCAGCCTAGTATACCTGTGTACTAGGTGTAACACAGTAAGATTCACAAGACTGACTCTCCCACAACTGCACTGGATTTGAGAAGTTGCTGTCAGGACTATTAAACATGACCCAAGATGAACTTTGCAGGCAAAAGACTGCCCTGTACCAGTTAATGCAATGTATCATGCATGGCAGCAATACCTTCTGTACCACTGAGCTCTCTTAAGACAGCCTAAGCATTATGAAGACAACATCATTCTAGTCTGAGAACAGGCCTGCCCACATCCAAACATCACTTTCTACATTTTAAGTCTACCACCTGATGGGGCACAAATGTACTAAAAGTGCAGTATTTACAGCTCTGCAAACCTACTTTCTTTTCCTTTCTTTGTTCCACTGGTTAGTTTTGTTTTGCTTGACTGATGAGTCTGAGAACTATTATCTTCCTCTGAGCTGGCACTGTGCACCATTGTATCAATTTCCTTTAAAGAGAATAAAAGATAATGAAAAGGTTGTGATGCATTGATGCTTTTTGTGATGCAACTCTGGGTCAACACAGGATAGCAAGTGGCTTTTAGGACTCCAGGGTTGAAGTTTCAAACCTGCTGTAATGCACGGCTATGTCTGAGTTTCAAAAGTTACTGCAATGCAACATTTATCTTTATTTCAAATTATCATTCAGAATAACATGGAAGGAGCTTGCTGCTCAATAAAATATTCAAGTAAGTGCCTAAGTCCCAACAATTTAACCAGAATTTAAATATGTTTGTGTAAGTTGCTGAACCAAAGCCCAAACATGCTTTTTACACCATTTCAATAAAATGAACAGATGTGGCAGGATTTCTCCTCTCCCACCACAGAAAGGCAGTTAGTTGTATGAGCTTGAGAATGGACAGTGCTACCAAATGTTAGCATGAAAATCCCATGTGCATTTCTTAAGTGCAATGAAACCAATGACACCTACAGAGTAAGTTTCCTCAGCTTCCTTCCTTTGCATGTATTTGCAGGCAACACTTCACACTCAGGTCAGATCAAACTCTCCCAACGGCTGCACTGCATCACAAAACTGTGTCCAGCTCCTGAGATTTTCTTCTCTCCCTGCTATGTCATTTCTTGGGGAGACACCACAAGAATATTATCACTCTGACCCCCTAACTCTGCAGTTATCTACAAGAGGGAGCGGAGGGAGAGTGGGGAGTGTTGTGGTTTAACCCCAGCCAGCAACTAAGTACTGCACAGCCACTCGCTCTCTGCCCACCCCTGGTGGGATGGGGAGGAGAACTGGAAAAAGGTAAAACCCACGGGTTGAGATAAAAACAGTTTAATAACTGAAATAAAGTTAAAATTATTATTAAGAATAACAGTAATAATGTAGTAGTAATGAGAAGGGAGAAAAAAAAAAGACAAAGAGAGGAATAAAACCCAAGTAGACAAGTGATGCAGACAATTGCTCACCACCTGCTGACCAATGCCCAGCCTGTCCCTGAGCAGCCCCTCCCAGCTAACTCCCCTCAGTTTACATACTAAGCATGATGTTCTGTGGCAGGGGAGCATGGAACTAGATGATCTTTAAGGTCCATTCCAACCCAAACCATTCTATGATTCTATGAATATCCCCTTGGCTAGTTCAGGTCTGCCTCTTCTTCCTCCCAGCTTCTTGTGTCTCTCCTCACTGGCAGAGCATGCGATTGAAAAGTCCTGATCAGGGTAACTGCTACTTGGCAACAACTAAACCATCTGTGTGTTATCAGCATTGTTCTCAGACTAAAGCCAAAGCACAGCACTGCACCAGCTACTAGAAGAAAATTAACTCTAACCCAGACGAAACAGGACAGGGAGAATGGTTTCTTAAGACTCTCAAGGCTGGAGTGTAAGTGAAGGGTGGGGACAGGAAGGCTGTGAGAGTAGTTAATGCTGGTCTCAGGGAACATATCGAAAGACTGGTAATGAAGAAGGGAGGGGTTATAGGTTCCACCACATCAGGTTAGCTCACAGTCCCATGAAGAAAGATCATTAGAACTATTTAAATGTGCAAAATGAAAAGGTCAAAATGAACATACATATTCAGCACAGTGAAAAATTAATCTATTAAAGCCACTTACTACCATTTTTTGCTGGTGATTATGAAAAATAACTGTTCTAGTTCCAGACTTTCTTGCAATGTCAATGCTTAAATTCCTTGGATGAACCCTGTACAGAAAGGTCAAAAGGAAATTATAAAGACAAAAAGAGCCGCAAGTATCTCTCAAACACACATTTCTCTAACAATCTCTAGTTCATAAAGAACAGACTACAGCAGAGCCTGCTGTCTGGCCTTGCCCCAACTTCTGTGACTATTTTGCCTTTAAGAATTCAAGACACAGATTAGGTTATTAATAGCATTTGTAAAAAAAACAAACATGCAGTTGTTCATACTTTTTTGACAGATCAGCAACTGCTTTTACATCTTTTCCCAGTTCTCCTGCTGAGAACCAAATTCTCTGTTTTTTTTACTATAGTTACATCAGATCGCCTCAAAACAGAGCACCTACAGACAAGAGTTAGGGTTTTGACAGCGCAGCTTTCAAACAGGAAAACAAAGATGTTGTGGGAACAAGGGATAGAGAGGAAGACAGAGGGGGAGATGGGCAATATATACCAGATGTAGAAAATACTCTCCCACAGAAGAACCTCACTCCTTCACATGAGGAGAAGGGTTGAGGAAGGATGGGAAGCAGTATTTGGCATATACACTTAAAACATCTAAAGTCATATTAAATTGGATTACATTCAGAGTGCTGCAGAAAACACCACTTTCAAAACTAATCTTAGTAACTGCACAAAGTCTAGCAAAAAGTAACAGCTCTTATTCAAGAAAACCTTCTACGTAAAATATTTAGATGCGTTTTCCTGCCCCAAAAAACCAACATGGTACTTCTTTGGGCTACTGATAATGGCAACAAATGCTACTCTCCGAGGCTTTTTTAAGATTTAAACCCCTTTGTAAATTCAAAAGGTGCAGTAGCCGCAAGAAGTTGTGACAATACTACATGATAACAGTGTTTGTCCTTTTAAAGGCAATCTGTTCGGGTGAATGGCATGTCAAGCTTAGCACACTGTCCTGGATTCTACAATATTGACAATAATCATCTAATATGAAAAGAGCAAGAATTTGCAATCATTTATGAGCAGTACAAAGACAGTGTTTACAAAGCAGTGTGGCAGAGCAAGGAATAAAGTCTAAGAAAACAAGCTCCTGACTTCCCTTTGAAAAGGCTATTCACAAAGGCACGTGGTTATTTTGCAGTAACTTGATTTTAAGAATCCTGATAGACTAGGAAGCCCTGACTGTAAAATGAGCACAGGACCAGAACTTTTGCATAAATCACTGCAAAAGTGAGGTGGTGTCATACTCCTTACAGGAAAGGTTATGTTACAAAGAATAAGAGGTTTAGAGACTGGGAGCAAAGGACAGGACAGTTGGTGGCTAATTTGTTATCAAACTCTTCAGTGTTATCAAGTATCTTTAAATCATTTCTCTCAAGTATTTTCTATTCATTCTTTCAAATTAGCATAATTATGAATGCCCTGAACAGACCAAGTATACCCAGGAGAGAAACTGGATTTCTAAAAATGCCAAGTAATGCACACAGTAAGTAAAATTAATACAGAGGAAAAACTGTCCCACTAAAAGAAATAACCAGGACTTAACAAAAAAGTTGAGAAAAAAATCCCAACAAACCACCCTCAGGTGAGGACATTCAGCTGTACTTTAAGTTTTACAAAGGACTTTCTAGAACAGCAGAATATTAGTCTTGCTATGCTTAAGTTTGCCTTGGTAAACTTACAGGGTTGATTTATTTTCACTATCCACAGTCTGAGACAAAGATTCTTGATTCTCAGGAATGCTAGTTTTGCCAGTCTACATTAGTTCAAACACAGAGTCTGAACAATCAGTGTCAAGTTTTCTTTTTTTGGAAAAAAAGCCATGGCCTCTGTTATTCAGAGCATTCTTTTCTTTCAGCTCTTGACCAGCATCTCCCAGTACTTGAACTTCAGCTCTGCTCATTAATCTGCCTGGAGAGGAGGGAGAGGGGGGAAGATACATATTTTTTAAACTGCTTGTTTGCTAAGATGGGTCTCATTTGCTGTCACAGCTCAAACTTACATAAAAACAACCAACAACCAAGAACATTATTTGGAAAAGCAAAACATGAATGCATTTAAACTGAAGGCAAACCAGTCCTGGCACACAGGATGCACAGACCTGTGAGGCAAAAATCAACAGTGTGAGATAGGCTTTGCTCCAGAATGGTTTTGATTGCCTGGCATCATCACACTGCAGAGTTCTTCAAGGTTCTTCATCCATCTGACCATCTTGTGAGTTAAGATTGTTGACTCACTTCTCGTCCAACTCCGTATTTCCCTGTTCTCAAAAAAATTCTAGGGCACAGGCCACAGGATAGGGAGAATTACACTCTACATGTTCTACAGGTCACTGTCGGTTACCTGAGTAAGTACAAACAAAAGTCCCCTTGTCAATATCATCTAGGCAGCGGACGCCCCAGCCTTTCTTCTCCGTGTTGAACACTTGCAACCTGACTTGAATGCCATGCTGTACAACTCTGTTCTGACACATCATCTTGTCACACCTGCACGACACACTACACTCATAAATTCTGTCAAGAGGAAGCAAGACAAAACACAGCGTCAAAGAATGCATTACCAAAACAAAGTTACTATTAATTTCCCTCCTAAGCATTAATAAAACAGTTGACTAAAGCTGATTGTGCAGCAGTGCTCTGAAGCCCATGACTTTCCTGATGGCTGATTCATCAGTTTTAATACTCTGTCAGTCAGATTTTGGTATAAGTAGACAGGAAAAATAAATGCTACTTTATTATTTTATAGGAGTCAATCACACAGAAGCAGAAACCCCTGTGAAGCACCTCTTTCTACGCTGGAACAAATTTTAGCAGAGCCAACATGTCTGCCTGGAGGTGACTGTACCTGTCATGGGTTTTAGAGGTTAATGAAACATTTCTAAAAGAATTCACAATTGCGGGGTTTGGTTTTGTTGTTGGTTTTTTTTCTGTTGTTGTTGGGGTTTTTTGTTTGTTTGCTTGCTTTGGTTTTTTTGCATTTGTTTCTAGGCTCACTGGCAGCTTTAATTCTGCACACCAACCATAAACTAACATCACACAGCAACAAAGGACTGAAAGAGGTCCTTAAGCTTATGGGTTCGGCCCTTAGCTATTGCAGAAAGCTACCTTGCACAATTCCTCTCCTAAACATCTGAGGTTGCTGGCACATTCCCAGGCCATGTATTAATCCATGGGAGCTGAATAAGAGAAAGGGCAAATACTTGCAGCACTGGGATGGCTTTAAAGACTCTTGGAAGAGTCACATATAACCAAGTCTGGCAATAGCAGCTGGCTGATACTTCTTTAGGACTCCAGCCCCACAGAGCAAATGGGTGAACAAGATATAGGGCAAAAACCAAGGGTGGCTACTGCTTCCTACTTCTTTGGCTGACACATGCTGTAATGGTCTTGTGATAGACTTCCTTCCCACATGGAAGGTTTCCTTCCCCTGTCCCTCCTCCCCTCGGCATGCCTGAATGAACCAGCATATGTGCCAGATATGGCCTGAGCTCCTGGACCAGCTAATACTATGTTAATCTTCATACCCTTCTTGGACCTCGAGCTAAGCTGTGAAAACTGTAGTTCCTGCAGTACAAAAGTTTTATTCCTCCCATTACTCAAGTCACATTAATTATTTATCTGTCATCCTGATCTCTCTGTAAAATTGTGACAAAAATGGAAGGTTCCAGTAAACCAGAAACTGCAGTTACTTTAGTCCTGTAGCACTTACACTACAGGAGTACAGTAAGAGCAGACAAATGAAATAACAGTTAATAGTTCTGTCTTTCTTACCCACTAGGAACAGGTCGCTCTAGTCTTTTGTAACTGTATCCACAGGATGTTTTACCACCTGGAGATAGAGAAGTTTTACTACAGCCTCTTGCAGTTAGCTGTAGGCATGCACATTTTGACCTAAAAAAATATCAGTAGAACATCTCAGAATTTATTTGGGGCACCATAAATCAAACATACCTCTAGATAATTTAAAATGTCCTTGACTGCACACACCCTTTTATATATACCTAGTTTCCCTCCCGCCCTAGCTCCCAGGAAGTGAAGAATTTCGCACTGTGGGTTGGAGAACTCAGGCAACAATGCTGGTCTTTACCATCTCATGTCATGATAACTCCAAAGACCTCATGGATCAAGTCCTGGACCCCAAAACTGCACATCAAAAGCATCTCAGCTCTTGGAAGAGCTATGTGCAAAGAAGCAGCATGCTATGTGTTCACTGTTCCCCACCACTCAGCTGAAACTAAGTAATTTTAATTACTGAAGCTTCATTGTACTAGACTGTGATTTCAAGCTTTATTTGGCTTATGGGCAATTATACTGCATACCAGCACATGCAACTGCCCTAGCTATCAATAATACAAAATGAATTCAACACCAAATAACACAGAACACACAAACACCCTTCAAGAAAGTGGACAAAATTAGCACCAAACTCACATGTTAACTGTGACAAGTTCCCACACAGTAACATGTAGCCCAGAGTTACTGAGCTTTAGAAAAAGACAGCAATAAGCAACACCATCTGAACTGCTTAGAACATTAATGTGTTCTGTGACCTCTAATTTCTGTTTAGACAAGGGGAAGGATGGGATGCAGAGGTTGTGAATGGGGATGTTTCCTCCTCTACCCTCAGTAACCTCCTAAGTTCCAAATGATCTGGTCTCTCCAGCTGTCCCATTTATCTCTAGGATAGCATCCCATAGCAGGAGTTGCAGCAGAAGTTCTCATGCAGGATCCTTCACTGCCTGTCAGGAAAATGAGCATTCCTCTGCTGGCACAAGACTCTCCCTCTCTCTCTCCTTTCCCAAAGCTGAGAGATCTGCCTGCGAGCTCCACCTGAAGGAGTAGCACTGCTAATTTGGTAAGAAAGGGAAAGGAACACAGTAATCCACCCCTAAAATGGGGGCTGGACAAGTAGGAACACCCAAGTTCTGCAGAAGACAAAGACACAGTGGTGTCAGTCAACACAGAGCATGGCACAAGACAACTACCAAATATTCCAGCAGTGTTGGTCCTATGCTATTTGTCACTGTTCGGTACTGTGTGCCTCCATTACTTACACCACCAGCCTACTACCGAGGCACCACGCACCCCTTGTCTGCAACTCAATTTTTCTACCTACCTATCAATGCAGCCATCTGTGCAGTCACATGAATCAACAAACATGCTGGAGAAGTTGTTGAGATAATACCCACGTGGCCACGATGCCCTCCGATATTTGAAATAAGGTAATCTTGCACGGTCAATATCATTGCAGAAGGAAATGGGCACACTCTCGGCTCCATTGCTAATATCAAAATCAAACACGAGGGGTTCAGGATGTACAGTGTTCCTGCCCAACAGTACATATGTGTTGAAAGAGAAGTAATCAACAAATAAGAAATTGCACTTAGTTTCAAACAAAAAATTTTGTACATCTTGAAAGCTTCTCAGACTCCGACCACAAGGCGCTTTGTAATTCACATCCAGTGATTTGGAAAGGCAGTCTGCTTTTGCATGGCGTCTTTGGAAGCGAAACAGGATCGGTATCTTAAGAGGATTTTCACCCTTGTAGGAGCCTGCTGCTCTCTTGGCAAGACATGCACTAGAGCACTTGTGGTTCTGATACTGCAGGTTTGAAGGTAAATCTTGAATTTTACTAGATGCTTCTTTAATCCCTGAACCTGTTTTTTCAATCTCCTTCTTTCTGCTATTTGGAATAAAAAAGACAGAAAGAAAAAAGAGCAGCAGCTTAGAAAACAAGTAGAACACTCAGTTTTTTAGTGCTTCGATGTTATTAGCACAGGAAGGAAAGAGCCCATTGCTAGAAGGCCAAGGGCTTCCCTGAATCACTGTTCTCATTGTGTTACTGTCCTAACAGCATATGAAGACATATTCAGTGGCATTAAAATAAAATTTAAAAAAAAGCAACAGCTTCTTCCCAGAATGAACTTACATACTAAACCACTGAAAGGATATTAGGAAAAAAGCCCACAATATCTTTACCCCATCTTCCAAATCAGTACTGGAGGCTAAGTACAGAGAGACTCATGTGCCTGACAATCTGCACAGCCTGTGAAAGCCTCGGAACTGAACACAAAAATTCTTAAGTCTCTACCCTGACAATCCTGGTAATACTCACGGATCTTTAATCACAGAATGGCTTGGCTTGGAAGGGACCATAAAGATCATCTAATCCACCCTCCTGTCATGGGCATGAACACCTTCCACTAGCGCACGTTGCTCCAAGCCCTATCCAGTCTGGCCTCGAACACTGCCAGGGATGGGGCAACCACAACCTCTCTGGGCCACCTGCTCCACTGTCTCACCACCCTCACAGTAAAGAATTTCTTCCTAATACCTAACCTAAGCCTACCCTCTTTCATTTTAAAGCCATTCCCCCTTGTCCTACCACCACATGCCCTTCACAACCTAATGCCATGTTTTAGTCAGCAATTTTCTCACATGGTAAATCAGACAAGTCTACTCAAAACCTCAGGTTTTCCATGTAGGTCAAATTAAAAATACCTTCACTTTGAAAACTGGCAACATTCAAAACTGAGTTTAAAATGATGAATTTAGAAATACAAAAGAGAGATTAAAATCTCTCAAATGCACTGAAGAATATGGTAAATAAGGAACTGGAATAAATGAATAAATACACTGACCTTTCAGAACCTTTTGCAGACTTTGCAGTGTTGTCATCTGTAAGAAGAGGCTGCAATTTGGGTTTGGTTTCCTGTATGCCATCTTCGTCAAACACATCACTTACTGCAAAAATTTCAATGCAAGCAAGAACTTCACCAATCCACATTTCAAGTTATAATCAAACTTACTTTAGTTACTAAAGAGATGATTGCCAAAATACATTAAAACCAAAGCATTGCTATGATCTACAGCTAACAAAGAACATGTTAGCAAGTGCCCTACTAAAAAGCCCTACTGCTTTTTATGATTTATACAGAAGTAATGTGTTTGCATATAGGTGTACAAGTGAGTGACTAGCTGACACGACACACACTCTCATACCTTCTCTCCTGCGTCTCCTCTCTCCCTCTCTTTTCTTTTCCTCCAAAGGGTAAAATGTAGGTGTGCATTGATCAACCCGAGGCAGAAATGTATCATGAAAATGTACCCTCTTTCACAGATGACCAGGCGATTTGCTCATTTTGCTTTCAAAGTTCATGGAGACAACATGCGTATGAAACACATACAGATTTCTTTTCATGATTTGAGGTGAAAGGCTGCCAGGGTATTACAGCTACTGGAGCCATGCACAAGATGACTCTGCTTGTATACAGCTTGGGTTCATTGGGCTTACTAACTTGAGCTCTTTTCACTTGGTACAAGCCATATGCACGTACACACAAACCACAAGAGTACAAACCCAGGTGACAGCCCAAGGTCCAGTACCTGAGGAACCTAGTAATTATGTTTTTTTCCCTTGTAATGCTAACAGGCTTCTCAGAATTATTTTATTGATTTCAACAAAGGGAAATAAGCTCCTGGTGAATGAAACAGGACAAATTAAATCCACACACCAAATAAATACAATTGAGATGCACATACCATTTGTCAAGGTTAAGAGATCACCTACATTAGCTTCATTCACCAGTGCCCAAGCCTGCCAGCATTCTGTGGAAAACCCAGAACAAAACAGATATTAAATGTAATTTAAGTTATGATAATAGGGACAATGACAATAGGGAAAACAAGGCGTAAGTCATCTAGAAACACTTGTTTCCTCACAATACTAAAATACAGCATTGCAAGGCTGACACTATTAGAAACCTTTTGCACCACAGCCTTTAATTACTATGAAATTACAGCTTGTGTTAGTAGTTGTGAATCAGCACTGAATACCTTCTGGCTTTTGGAAAGCTGCTGGAATTTTCCAAGCACACACAAACCAGTAGCAGTAATGGCCATGAGCAAAATTTAATATAAGTTTTTCTCTTTACTTCATCACCAGACTAGTCATCTTGTGGATAAAAGGCCTGGATCTTGGCAGACCTACTCCTAAGTTGATGGAAATGGCCTTCTGATAGGAAGAACACAAAGGGACCAGTTCTGTCTCAACCTCTTACCCCATGCAATAAATATTACAAGGTGGCAGACAAATGTCAGCAAAATCCATGTTAATATTTTAGTTCAAAATTTTTACAGAACAAAGCATAGAAAAATTCAAATTTAACTATGTCACAGATTCATTGTGTCATCTGGGGATTCGAGTTCAACTTTTATCTAGGCACTGCTGTAATATTTTGTCATGAAAATCACAATGTGGCAGCTCCAATACACACAAAAATGCGCTACCAATTTAGAGCAAGCACTACAATGCAGTGTATGGCTATTCCTGTCTTAAAGCATCTTAAACTGTTGTACATTTTCTTGCACAAAAAAAAGGCACAATAAGATCCATATAATACATGTACGTGGATAACTTCATTAAAAAAAAAAAAGAAGTAATTTTTCTGACTTAAATAAACCAGTAAAAAGAAACTTGTGTACTGCTCCAAGCTTATCAGACTTCTGATTTTGGTGCAGATAAAGGAAATTTATTTGCCTGGAAATCATGAACAATCTCTAATGCATTGCTGTCACATTTTTCTACCAATGTTTCAAGTTACAATGGTGCCTCCGACATGAAATAACACATGATTATAATTCCACCCCAAACCCATTCCATTCACTGAGATCAACTTGAAAGTCTAAACCTTCTGATGATACACAAAACACAAGGCACTGTCAATACTTCCTTACTTCTCAAGAATAAACATTTCAGTTTTATATGCTTAAGAGCCACATGTTGTTTGAAAAGGTATACAGGCAAAATGAGAAAATGGCAAAATGCACCTGAAATTATTGGTATTTTTTCAAAAAAAGAAGGTATATTTTTAAAAGTTCTTAAAAATGCCAACTACCAAGTAATTTAAACTCAGAGATATCAGAATTGTGGCAGATAACACAGAGCCCTAGACAAAGCAGGCTACAGCTCCCCAGCAATCCAGCTTAACCATCACAAGGATTTCAAACCTTGGTTTGTGGCAGTTCCATTCTTGATCTTTTCCTTTAGCAAGAGCAGCACACTTTGCACCTGCTCAAATATTACATCCACTCTTCTACCTCCCAACTGCATCCAAAAGGTCTTCAAGTCACCTGAAACGCAGATTTCCATTTACAAGTCCGTAAAACTCCCAAAAAGTCTAAAACCACAAGTAGCTCCTAGTGGAATTTTGAAAGGCTCCCACACATTTCATTGGGATGCACTCCTGAAAAACCAGGCAGGACACCTATCTTCTTCTGTAGGCTTAAACCTTCAGAAGTCTTCTCCTAAACCTAATAATGAAAGTGAAACAGAAGCCAAGAAGAATGGTTTCCAATGGCCCGTGATGCTCTTTCAAGTAATTTTTCAAGCACATCTACAAAAGGTGCTGTGGAAGCCTTTCTCCAAACACCAGCAGATTAGCCCCACTATAAATTAATCACCACCAAAACTCAAAGAAGTGACACATGAACTGAACATATTATTAAACAAGACGTGGATTTTTGTTAACAGCTGTAACCTCTGTTAGCTACACAAGCTATCCTGTCCCATCAATATTTCTGTTATGTTTTCTAGGGAAAAAAGGTTCAAAATACTTTCATATAAAAGCAGTTTGATGAATTTTGTTCATCAAGTGATGTCAGTTGCAGTAATTAGTACAATCCTAATACTGTGCCTCCTTCCTCCACTAGAAATATTTATAAAGAACATTTTGTTTAAGGAAGTGTTTTCTAAGCTACTGGTTCAGAAGCTCTTCTCTTCCAAGTGTCTGCACCTTTGAAGGGGGGACAGGGCAGGGAGGAGTGGGACAGGGCAAGGTGGGGTGGTGTGGGCCGGGGCAGGGCCTGTGTTCAGTTCTGGGCTTCTCACTACAAGGAAGGCAGTGAGGTGATGGAGCAGGTCCAGAGAAGGGCAATAAAGCTGGTGAAGGGTCTGGAGCACAAGTGTGATGAGGAACAGCTGAGGGAACTGGGGGTGGCTAATCTGGAGAAGAGAAGGCTTGGGGGGACCTTACTGCTCTCTACAACTACCTGAAAGGAGGATGGAGCCAGGAAATGGCTGGTCTCTGCTCCCAAGTAAGAAGTGATAGGACAAGACGCAATGGCCTCAAGCTGTGCCAGGGTAGGTTTAGACTGGAGATTAGGAACAATTCCTTCACGGGGAGGGTGTTCAGGCATTGGAACAGGCTGCCCAGGGCAGTGCTGGCCTCACCGTCTCTGAAAGTGTTCACAAACCATGTAGACAAGGCCCTTAGTGACATGGTTTTGTGGTGGACTTGGTAGTGCTGGGATAACAGTTGGACTTCATGATCTTAAAGGTCTTTTCCAACCTAGGTGATTCTATAAAACATATACTACACTATGTGTAGTGCTCAAACCACTCACCTTGGAACTCCTTCCCCAATTCTCATGTTGGACTGCCCCAAAACTTCAGCAGCAAATTCTTGGTTTTGCATGGAGAAGCACAGACCACATATGAAGCTCACAGTTTAACTGTCATTTCAAAAAAGACAGATGTCCACACCACTGATCTCCCCAGCGTTAATGCTGCTCTTGTCAACCCCAGCCAAGGGGACATGGAACGAACACATACGGGATGCATCTACCTCATCAGCTTTCAAAATGAGCTCACCAGCTGATAACTCCGGGTGCGGACTGGCATCTGGTGGCAACAGTTCTAAACCTGGCTGAGGCCATTACCTCTGGAGAGATTTTCTTTTCTCTCTACAGCATCCTTGTTGCCATGTATCTCTCTTTTCCAGGACTGTGCAGGGGAATGACGGTAGAGCAAGAAAAAAACAGCCAGGGCCATGGCAAATCATGCCAGCTACTGGAAAAAATACTTGGGTGCGTTTTTCCTATATAAGACCTGTAGTGCCGCTGACTAACATCTTACACACACACCATAGAAGACAAAACTATTGTTTTCTGGTTATCATTTTCACACCAGAAGTGGTACCAAATATATACCACCTTCCCCTTCCCTCCCCAAATCCAAATGATCCTACCTTCAAGCATCTCCTCCCTGGAACTGGTAAGGTTCTCCACTTCAAGGTCATCGCCCAGTGCTGCAAAAGGTGCAGAATGGACAAGTAAGAAAGAGATCAGGTGAGAAAATAAAATAGTTGTAGCTACTTAGTTTTCCAAAATTTATACCAGTAAATACTCCGGCAGGTATCAGTGAGAGCATGGTGTGAGAAAGCGTTGTGGTGAAACAGCCATTCCACAGCTCATCAGGACCTAGCTAACACTCAGAGGAAACAAGCTTTGTGAGGGAGTTCTTTTTTACACAGGTAACTTCTTGTCATCCTTCCAGCATGAAGCTGTCACAGGATGACCCATACTTTCCAGCTGAGCCTACATAATCCCCACACCTATTAGCTCACATTGCTCTCTTTTTTTTTTTTTATTAATGCTGCCAGTACAGCAGTATTGCAGCTAAACTGATTTATTTAGGGAACAATTAAGGCTTTTTTAGGTAAAAAAATTACTGAATCTGCTTCTCAAGAGATGTGAGGTAAAGTGAGATGTCTGCACTGTGATACCACTAGGGAGAAGTAATGCAGCATTCTGTAACCACACTGAAGATATCAGATTTCTGACTCTGACCTCTAACGACACAGAGAACATAAAATGCACTTGACTTATAAGTCAGCTACTTAGTCTCTTCTATGCTATAACTGAAAAAAACCCGTATCCATTCATTCTGGCACAGAAATTTCATTAGGTTGACTGGGAAAAGAGGTTAGGTGAAGAAGGTCGATTCCTAGAAAAGGTTTCTCACATGATCTGCCCAGCGGCTATTCAAAACACATCCGTTTTAAGGCTTACTTTTCTCTTCCATCTTCTGGGGCGGCTGCATGGAGGGCCCTTACACTCGTTGGGGTACCACCAGCACTGAGCCCAGCTCAGGTAGGGGAGCCCTGTGTTGATCTCGCTGTCCTCCAACACGGCTGCGGGGTCAGCGCCGGGGGCCTACAGACAGGAGCTGGTCTGACCGTCAGGCGGGGAGCGCTGGGCCAGCACTCGCCCCTGAGCT